TCTCCTGCCAGTTGTGATCTCGTCATTTACCATTTTTTGTAATTGTACATCCTGTCTGGATGTAAAACACAGGCACACAACTTACAAGTTATGTTGATGTGATGTTGACATGTACAAGCATATGAAGGTCTTGAACCCAGATCTTTACACTCATGGGCTACGTTGAAAGCTACAAAGATTATTCACAAGACAGAGATCTCCCTTAAGAATATTTATAGCCCATAAAGTCTGGATCTGTCAGCATGCTGACATGAGCAAAGGGACAAGTCCGAGGAATTGGAGGTCTTGTTAACTCCTTGACGCCGGAACTTTTTTCTGAAAGCCGACTCCCCGAATTCCAGCCTCACTTGGCCACAAAGGCCACCTGCTAAACCGCAAATTCTTGGTTTGTGGCCCTGCGTGCTCTGCACACTTTGATTTACACAGTGAAAGGGCTCATCATTCGGGGCATGCAGCTCTACTCACCCTTCCACATTCCCGTTGCCTCTTTTCAAAGTGGGGACTATTGTGAAGCAATGATTATGATGCAAATTCGGCCTTTTCATTTCTTGGCAACACACAAAGGCCAATTACCATATGTACAAGAGCCGGGGTCTGCCTTCTTTCACCGTGTTTGCTCGAGCATGGGCCGAGAATAATAGCTGAAAAGCGGGCTGAGGGATCTCAATTTTTACGGCGGCTCTTACCGCTTCCCAGGGCGAAAGGGTTAAGGCTATGCAGGTGGCAGAAGCTGGGGCAGAAAGTATAAGTAGTCCTCTTGTCATTGTAAAGGCCAATTGTTGAGTCCAGTATTATGTTGATTATTATAAAGGCACAAAAGGTGTCAATTGCTTGTTGCGCGCTGATGAAAGCTTTGGAGATGTAAACTATTTGGTATAAAAGTTGGAGAGTTATTTGAGATTCAGAAGACGCATTGAAAGTTTAAAAAACAAATAATTTTCTCTTGGTTAAGTGACAAATTCAGAAATGAACCCTCTTTTCTCTTGTTTATTTTCTCTTATAGGCGTTTTGAAATAACATTACTTGAAGGATGTAATCATGACAACATTCAAAGCTGAAGGAAGCCATTGCTTTTATTATAGGAGAAAATCAGAGCGAGAGAGGATCATGGAGCAAGGAGTGAGCGATGTGTGGGTAGCATCACTCTCAAGAAAGCAGAATCTTAGTAAGTTCTTAACCGTGAGGAGGTTTACAGTGAGTAGCTGGATTGGCAGCCTCAACTTTATTCCTGTAATACTCATTTTCTCCTGCACTTCATTTGCCTCTTTTTATCTTGTTTTTGAATGCCAACCTCCCCAGACCTTTTAAATCCACAAGGAAATTTATGGAAGATTTAGCAGGATTAAGGAATGGTTGTGTTCGGTTCAGCAATTAGATTTTACTTGGGCTCGATGCTCATTGAAAAATTGGAAGAATGTATCACTCTTGAGAAGATTTTTGAGAATTCAGGGAGGTTCCAAGGAAACATTAGACAGTTTCAGCATCCAAGTTAATTTGTTTGTGTTCGTACACGTATTCGCATGACACATTACGTACACACTTACATATAAGGTTTGAAATGTTTAGTTTTGGCATGACTCACACATCCATATGTGATGATGCACGCTGCAACGTAGCAACATTATTAGCACCAATTTCTTCAAAAACAAAATTTATATACCCTAAATTTAACTCAAAGACATTGCTATCCAATCAAATGATTCATCAAGTGTCTCAATACTAATAATTTTTGCTTTTAGGAACACAGTTTGGTACTAATAATGTGGTGTGCAAAACCGAACCTTCATACGTACCGGTTCGCTACCAAGTTGTTTCCATACGTCGTCCATGGGGCTTCTCCGCTTTATGTATAGCAACACAGCCTAAAGTGATGACGTCATCAGCAAAAAAGATACGGCTACGTGATACGCGAGTGAAACTGTCTACTGCCTTTCTGTGTTGCTTTTATGTCTTATTACATGAGTGACATTATTATCAGATGAGTTCAGCCACCCGTAGAAAGACCAAGATGATTCTCACCTTAGCATGAGCACAGACTATAAAAGGACTTTGTCCAGCCAGGGACTCTGTATGAAAAGGGTCTAAATAACAGGAAATACTTCATCTGTTCCCTACAAACACCCTGCATTGTGACTTAAAGTTTCCAACAAATTTGACAATTCAAGGCAGTTGTTTTTTGAGAAAAATAGTGCACACATTTCTTGATTTATTTGTGGGTGATTTCTTTCTTTGTTTCAGTTAAGAGAAGAAGGAAAAACAAGTCTGAAAATCCAAGTGACAAAAAGATAGAGGAAAAGCTGAAGGAAGGGAAATTTATTTCATCTTTTTTGGTTTTATTTTTGTATGAAGTCACTGGTCTGTTGTGGAAGATAAAGTCAACCCTTAGAGTCAGTGATGATTTTGTTTGATCTCCTTTTTGTTCCAATAGTTAAAAAACAAGCATAAGAGAAGTTCTATCTATCAAGTTCTAGTGAGGACTGGAGTGATAGCAGCTCTGACAGTGATGAGGAACAAGAACAAGGGGTGGAGAAAACAGCAGGTAAAACAGCCATCACTTTTCAGTCATGTTCATCATCGCATCACCGACACCACACTGCACATTGGACACTGGCATGAACAGTTTTCATTCTCACAAAATTACAACACTGTTAGGGGAATAAAGTTCGGGAAAAAAATGTGTAAAATGTTTTTAAGGAATGAAGTTAATCCTGTGGGTTATAGACACTTTTTTGATAAAATCCTTTCAACTAGTGAAATTAGGATAGGTGTATCTATAAAAGATATGCATGCGCAGTGTGCATGCAAGTCCACTTATTGTCACTTTGTGGTGGTGTTGATGATCCGTTTAGAAATCAGTTTTTGTTGTTACATTTGACCACCGCATAAGCGTGTTCATTTCCAAAGTGCTTACTGAAGAGCCCACCATATCTCCACTTACATAGCCATCAGTTTTTGCGATGTGTAAAGAACAGCAAGCAGTCACTGGATACTGCTGTTTTGTCAGTACATGGGTCAACTGGCTTAAGATAGATTGTGCTAATCAACTGGCTTTGGCTGACAGTAGTACATAAGTCTATGGGAAATAGCTGTAGCCACTTGCCTGTGGCTTAGCTATAGATATTGTTATCTCTAGCCTCAGCCATACCTTTTGAATAATGTCATGAAATTGACAACCCGTATAGGGGCATGTTGAAAACATTGAACCTGTATTTGCCAATGCAGACAAGTACAACCCCCACCTTCTCCTCTTTGTGTCTTTGAATTTTCACCAGGTGTTTTGAGGTCATTGCAGCGTGGTTGGTCTCCAGCCTGTGGGTTCATCGTCTGGCATCCCTGCTCTGATAGAGTAAGCCATCTCTTGTTTGTTTCCCCACAAAATAACAAGAATAATAAACATGAGTTTGGTTCTCACAGCATTTGCTTGACTCATTAGTCCCTGTAACAACTAGAACTCACCCAGCCTGTTACTCCCGGCACTGCACAAGAACCTAGATAGATTTCTGGATTTAGCACTAAAGATAATCTGAAACAACAGAGAACAGGTGCTGAGAGGTTGAAACCTGTATATTTTGTTCACTAACAAAACAGAATTACATAATTAGTCTGTAAGAACATCAGGTTAACTTTTGTTAACTTTTTTGTGTGATGTTTTTCCTGTTTTCAGATTGGAGAAAGTCTTGTTGCCCGGTGTAGGTGCAGTAATGGCTTCTTACGTTAAGGCAAAAATCTCTCATCATGATGAGATCAGATTGATCAGCTGTGGAATCTCCAAACTTGAGGATGCAGACCTGTTACATTATGACTAACAGCAGGTAAGAACTGAGTCTCGTGTGTTATATGCTAGCTTTTGGCTAATAAATATCACTGTATTCCTTTACACTCCCTCTGTCCAGGTATTCATTGCTGCTATCTAGATATCCATGATATACTAACCCTAACAGTCCTCAATCCTTCACCTGTTGGAGGACTGAGGACTGTTAGGGCTAAAGCTGTGCTGGAATGTGGGCTTGAAATGCTTCATCAGTTTCACTGTACCCAGATGTTGCAACATGGAGTAGACACATTGTACCCATATATATGTTTGATTTGTCCAGCCGTACATGAGGCATTTGAGGCCTTGCCATTTTATTTCAATAAAACCTTTGAAAATGCTTCTTAGTGTCTCAGTTGTCTTATTTAAATTTTTTGTTCTGTTATTTGAAAGTTTTCTATGCTAAGCAGTGTTTCCATAATTATGAGCAAAACTATGATGTCATCCCGTGAAGAAAATTTCAGTGTAACATTAATTGTGAAAAGACAAATGCTTTATAGTTTGGTGACAGAAATTTCTTTCTCTTTGGTGATTCGTTGTTGCGTATTAAGAAATGGCTAAGTAAACCTAGAGGTATTTTTTTCTCTTTGGTGATTCTTTCTCTTTGGTGATTCATTGTTGTGTATTTCTCAAAAGTTGTTTCAGTGGGCAAATTTTGGTCTCACAAATTTAAGAAAACCCCTAAAATGAACCATATCCTTCTTATAGACATAAGGTACCTGTAGACTGACTAGAGTGGGTGCTAGACCATCATGTCATGAAAGTTGCCATTTTTAGTAACCATGAGTAAATTGTCACCGTTTGGACAAGAGACAAATTTGGCCCAAATAACCTCCTTTTCAAATTCAATTTTTTTTTGGGCTATCTGCTGCCAACAACTTGGTGCAATTATTCGGACCAAGTTTACTCAAATAAAAGGGTGAAATTAGTTTTACCACTTTCACTGTCCATGTGTTATCAGCCAAAATTTCTTGTAAATATCACTCACTATCCAGATATTGCTCCGTAGACTACAGTTAGTTTGGCACCCAGGCATTGCCTTTTGTAGATGCAATAGTCTCTACGTATTTTAGGTCTTTGGTCTTCCCTGATTGACATCACAGTAATTGTGCCTTCAATTGTCTACAAAGGCATGGAAAATCTTGTTTAAAAAGCAGGGTGAGATTTCTCAGCTTTTAAGCTGATTTCAGCTTTTTTCGTTTTGGATTTCAGCTTTTTTTCCTCACTGGCTGTGTACAAAAGTATACAAGATTTTCACAGTTCAGCATCTTTTATTTATGGCTTTTTTTCAGCTGTTTTCAGCTATTTCTATCATTGGTCAATCTCACCCCTGAAAAGGGTCACCTTTACATTAAATCTAAACGGGATATCTAACAGTTTCCCAACATTGAAAGACATGTGTGATGTTAAATCTATTGCTAGTACCTCCATCAGTAACAGGATAAACAATGTCAAAGGAATTCTTCTGTAACAGATCATTTTTCTGACTGAAAAGTCAATATGTGATGGACTTGTAGGGACTTCTTGTCAAACCAACAATACTGGCTGTTTTGTATGAAGTTCAGTGTAAGAATGAGGATACAAGAATCCCGTCTTTGCTTCAGAAATGTCCGTTTCTGCTGCAGCTCATTTTTCTTTAATTTCTTCCCCAGATATCATCATATGGAAGTTGTGCATATGTACAAGAACCAGATCTACAGCATGGTTTAGGAGCAAGCCCTTGCCTCCAACAAGGAGAGAAGCAAGAGGGGGATAAGATCCTTCTGGACTTGTGAGAGATGATTGGCAAGGAGGAGAGGAAGACACTTACACAGATGCCAGGTCTTGCCGCTATCACTGAGGAGGAACAGTTTGCCAGATTGCATGCAACATCCTCATTGGAATCTCAAGCAGTGATTCACAAAGGCAAGGAAAGGACTCAGTCTTCTCAGGTTCAGTTCCTTGTGTCTGCCTTCATGTTGGAGGTCTGTATGCAGTTGTACATGTATATGTATTGATAAACAGTAGAGCGCTACTGTAACAGACATGATGGAGATGCTCACAAAATGTTAAATATATACTGGCATTCCAAAAAGCGATTTTTAGTCCCTGATGCACCTGTTCCTAGCCAATTCATACCTGTGGTAATCTTTCTCAAAAGGATAAATGAGGATTTGGGGGCCAGTATTTCAAACTTGCACGCAACAATTTTAGTTAAAAAGAAAGAACACAAAAAAGTTGCCCTTGTGAGCATGCACAGGGAAGTTGGTCTGCATGAGCATCTGATCATATATGTACGTGTACCCACACAGGATACAGACCACGACGCATGTTGGCCGTTGTTCCTTCATGAGTAAAATTTCCGTCCACTTTTTAAGTTATCATCATCATCAGCCCTAAATAAATTTGTTTTACTGAGAATGCACTTTTAATGCTTGGTAAAAATGTACAGAAAATTTGGGAACGTTTAACTCCAAATTTTGTGAAAAAATGGATTTCATTCTGCTCCTCGAATCGTACTCAAAGATCATTCCAGGCAAATTTCATTCAAAATACTGTATGGATATGTAGTAGTTTCAATTCAAATATCTTATTTTGGCAACTTCCAACTCGTGCTAGCTAAGACATTATATCAGTACACTCAACCCCCCCAAAAAAACATGTGCAAAAACATCTCAAAATTCATACATTCTTGGGATGTGATTTAAAACTATGTTGTTTATGGCCTTTTTAAAGCCTAATGATCACAATTAAGACCCATATCATCCAGTTTTTTATTACATATTCTACCAAGTAGAAATTGTGAGCAACAATATAACATTTGTGGAAAATACAAGAAAAACAAAATAGCAGTTGCCACTGATTCAGACACCACTTGGTGTTTTTTTGTTAGAACAGGCTCTAGTTGGAAGAGGAAAATGCCGAGATATGATGGTTTTGCACTGACACAATTCATAAGTAATCGAGATGCTTAAGTTCAAAAACTGCATTCATAAATTTACACTGTAAATGTTAGGGTAGACATAATACTTTGGAACTAAATTATATGCTTTTAAAAACTGCAATGGTGCATTGCACGTCACATCTCTCCTTTTCTTGTTCAGGCATCCAGAATACCAGTACTGTACCCCCCCTGCATGTTTAAGCCCACTATAAAGTGCCCATTCTCATTTTAACAAGATTTTTCTTTTCCTCATTTTTTGGAAAAAGTTCTGTGTGCCGATGTATTTTCCAAGTGTAGATGCTTAGAGCAGTGGAAAAAAATATTTTTAGTTATCACAAAACTATTTAGTTTATTTAAAAAAATTAGAAATTGTCAGTGATTGTATGCAACAAAATGTCCATGTGTTATTACAGCTATTTGATTTATACATGCTCTTGCATTTGAAATAAATGTTAATTTAAGTCAACAGAACCTTTCTTTGGACTTCTATATGTAGAAAAGTAGTACTTCGTCACTTCACCCTTGCCTGACCTTAACCATTTCACTTTGCCTCATATGCATTTGTTTCCTGATTTTTTTAGACTACATTTTGGACCCATCCCAAGCCCTGCCACTTTTAAACACACTCCTCCATGCTCCTTAATAAGTTTCTGAAAGTCCTTTTAAACACTTAAAAACCCCACTAGCAATACAGAGCATTATGAAGTGACCTTACCATTCAGCTCCATGGGATCCTACAAGCCCTGTCTTATACTGATAGTCCCAAGCCCTCAGCCATCCACTCCACCCTTCTCATCAGCCCTCAGACTTCAAGCCCCTGAGGCTTCCACCCTTGCCCATCTCCAGCACAGAGTTTGGCTGAAAAATATTCTAAGTCCAAACAATGGAAGGTTTAACATTTAGAAACGAGCACATTTCTTCAAGAAAGAGCCGTGGCATAGCGGTTAGAGACCCTAACTGCTATGCACAAGGACCTGGGTTCAATTCCAGGTGGGCATGCAC